AATGGTGAAAAAACACTATGTCAGCGATGCTGCGAGGACGGCATCGGCTGACACACCTTCGGCGCTGGCCCGGTGATGGGTTTTTCGGGCAAAATACCGAAGTCGGTTTTCCCTCGCTGAGAGACCGAAGTCGGAAATCCGACCTCGGTCTATACCGAAGTCGGATTTCCGACCTTGGCGCGGGCTCGGCAGGAGGCGTCTAGGTTCGCCGAAACTTTAGACAGTTGTCCCCCCACAGGACAACTGGAAATTTTTTTTCACAGTTGTCCCCCCACAGGACAACTGGAATTTTTTTCACAGTTGTCCCCCCACAGGACCACTGGATTTTTTTTCACAGTTGTCGGCTTAGACGACAACCTCGACATTTTTTTCCTGGGAAGAATCCCGACCTTGGCGCGGGCTCGGCAGGGCTTCTATGCCGGGCAGGTGGCGCGGCCGGTGGCACCCGGAGTGCCAATCCTCAACATGTCAACCCGACATGATGGTGCCGGGCAGGAGGCGCGGCCGGGAGGCTAGGCGGGCAGGCACCAAGCCGTCCGAACCCTCACCAGCTCCCCGGCTCCTTGCTATATGTGCTATATGTGCTATATGGCTCTCACAAGGCAAGCCACTGAACATCCACTCTCCCCCTCCCCCGGGGTCCCCCCCATGCTATATGTGCCTATATTGTGCGATATCTCCACAAGCAAGCCCACTGAACAATCCACTCTCCCCCGGTCCTTGGCTAATGTCTATATTGTGCTTATAATCTCAGCAAGGCAAAGGCCCACTGAAGCATCCACTCTCCCCGGGTCCTTGCCCTATATGTACTACATATGGTGCTAATATGGCCCTATATAGCACCATATACTAGCAGATTTTCTTCGCGCGTACAGAAGGTATAGGCACATATATACATATAGGCAAAGGAGCTGGGGAGAGTGGGGGTTCAGCGCTTGGCGTGTAAGATATAGCACATATAGCACATATAGCAAGGAGCCCGGGGGAGAGTGGAGGTTCCGCGGCTTGGCGTGTAAGATATAGCACATATAGCACATATAGCAAGGAGCCCGGAGACTGTGGGGGTTCAGCGGCTTGGCGTACACGCGGCACCGTGCCGCCGCAAATCGGGTTGTCCGCGTTGTCCGCAGTGGGAGGTAGAATCCTTCACTGCGGACAACCCTAGCTCTCTTAGGCGCACTCTGAATCAAATCTCTCTCTTTAGAGGGGGTTTCCCAAATGGATTTTATTCTACCTCAGAGGCTCCCAGCACTCGTCCGTCCAGCATTTGACCTCGTCCTGCGAAGGATTCGAAGTCTAAAACGCTGCGTGCAGGCGTATGGCTGCAAAATAGTGACCCCTAGATATGCGCCGCAATTTGGCTCCAGGTTGCATTTCAAGCGATGTCAATTTTTTTTTTGACCCTTTTTTGGGGACCCCTTTTTTTCCTGTTTTTTTGTTTTTTCTTAGCCCTGCAAAGGTTGGCTCGCTTGAAATGCAACCTGGAGCCAAATTGCAAGCATATCTAGGGGGGACTACCGTTCTGCATGGATGCTTGAAGCACATTGCGCACACACACACACACACACTCACAAGCTCCGCAGTCAGTCCAACGTCTTCGCTTTGCGAAGTCTTGGCAAGCCTGGCAAACGCCTGCACTTGCGCGGCGCACCCGCCGCCTTCGGCGCCGGACGCTTCGCGTCTGGACGGGAACAGGCTGCTTGTGTCCACAGCACAAAGCCCATGGCGTCTATGCTTTTGTTGCCGCGAAGAAAAATCTGGCTGGCCTCTTGCTCAGACGGGGGGCCAAGAGGCACTTCAGGCGGGCTTGCAAGGCCAAGCCCTTGAAGGCACTGCGAACTCAAATATTTTTGGCGCCCCAGCAGGCCAACTGCAAAAAAGGCTTCCCGCCAGCTTTGGCCCAGAAGCACGTCTTGAACGACGGCAAAAACAATGTCCAGCCACTGCCTCATAGAAATGCGCTGAGACTCTGCCTTCGTTTCTCTCCAACGCTCCAGAAAAACCGCTTTAGCACGGCGAAGGTGCTTGTGTCCAGAGGCTGTAGCCACGCCGTGGCTCTCGCTGGCACAAGAAGCATTCTCATGCCCAGCTTTTGCGCATGGGCGCACGTAGCAGGCGCCAAATGGCACCTGGCCACATCTGCAACAACAATCACTGTGTGGGAGTGAATCCAAGTTGCCAGATGCTTTGCAAGAACTGTAAGGTATCGCCTAAAGCAACTCTGGCTGACCCACGCGCTCTTCTCTCTCCAGACAAGAACGCACTCCCTCTCCGGCAGAACACGGAGAAGCTTCTGAGGCAATTGGCGTTCGTTGCAAAGCAGCAGCTGCGGTAACTTCACCTCTGGCTTCGAAGCAATGGCCGCCAACAGCGTGACGCAGCTGCGCCGGTGAGCCAAAGGCGCAACATCCCTGCCAGCCACGAGCTTTGCCACGACCGTTCCACGAACGTTTGTAGGATGCTGCACAAGGCTTGTCTCATCCAAATTTATCCATAGTGTGGGGCGCCCCAACTCTTGGGCTTGATCTGTTGCAAAATTGGCCCATCGCCAGAAAGCCATGGCCTGCTCAGGACACACGAAACACGACCCCCACAGCGCGAGAAAGCGGGGCGCAAAATCAGCCCGTTTTTGGTCCGCGAGCCACCGCAAGAGCTTACAAAAAGGGTCCAAGAACCGGCCCCGCAAAAGCCACTAGATGCTCCGAGCACGGGCCTGGAAAAGTGGCCCGCCAAAACGGCCCGTCTAGCAACGTGGCAAGAACTTGAAAGAAGCAGAACGACTGTCACAAGCTTTCGCACAAAAAACGCTGCTTTGTTCCCAAGAACTGTCATAAGCTGTCACACGAAAATGCCAAGCCTTGCTTCGCTTGTCCTCAAGGGAGATTTCCTCCTGCACCCGCAAAGCTCCAATCCGAGCACCCCAGTTCTGCCGAAACTTGCGCAAGAACTTCCGCTGGCTTGATGGGCTCCAAAGGGCGATAGCTTTCAAGTGTTCCTGAACAAGGTAGGGCGCTGCAGCCGGCACACAAGCCAAGGAAGCATCGATGAGTTGACGTCGCGATGGAGCAAGACCATGCCTTTTGTTCATCTCCGCAAGCCAAGAGAAGAGCCGATGCTGGAGAACATATAGACGGCAGCCTTCAGCTGGCTCTGATTGCCAAATTGCCGCGTGGTGAACTCCATGTTCACCAGGTCCTCAAGCTTTGCCTCTAAGTAAGCAGCCTCAACCTGCTCAGCGGCTGCTGCAACATCAACATGCAGTGGAGCAAAGTTCGGGCCACGCCCGCGGCCCTGGACATAATCCACAGCCGTGGCTGTGTCGTGGTCGCTGTACACGAAAACCATCAAGACCGACGGGCTTGCAAACTGGCTGCCCACGCAGTCTGTAGATCGCCGCAATTTCTTCCCAAGATTTCGAATGTGGCTTCGCATGGCACGAAGGGCGCCAGAAACTGATTGGTCGCCGTGTGTAGTCGCCTTAGTGACCGCCATCTGGCAGCAAGCGCAGGGCTTCTTCAACCTGAATTGCTTCAAACACGGACTCAAGTCAACTCAAGGCATTAAGTTAGGCTTGGCCCAAAACATCTGCAGCCCCCCTCGCCAAACACAGCTCCACGCACAAGCAGACAATCTCATCCCTCACACCTTGCTCACAAAATGTGGGGCAGCCACCAACAAGCTCCTCGCACCGGGCACCGCTCTGCAACCCGGCAACGGCCCCAAAAACAAGCCTGCCGGATCGCCTGCGCTTGCGGTGTCGCAGCCCTTCCCTTCGCCATGAAAGCAAGCAGCGTGTTCCAGCACTCCGAGCCAAAAAAAATCTCCGCACGGACACAAAGCTGAATCCAAGCACTTTCACAAAACGTGTAGCATGCTTTTGAGGTGTACACTGTGTTGAGCACTCTGTCATACACAAACTGTCACAGCTGCGCGCGCGCAAGCCCCAAAAACAATCCGGAAAACACACTTAAACTCCAGATGGAGAGTGCTAATCTTTCGAGTACAACTGATGAGTCTCGAGTACAGCTGATGAGTCTCGAGTGGGTGTGGGTTCTGCTCGCGATGCACTCGGCTTCCCTCTAACAGCGAACACGTTACCCGAAAGAACAAGAAGCACAAACAGCGCCGCAACCAAGGGGGCCAAAAGGACTTTGCATCACACGAAATGCACAGGTACGTCGAGGTGATCAGCCTCGATATCACAGGACAAGTGCGGCGTCTTCGTTGGATGCCGACCGCACAGGTCGCCAGCATCCCCCTGCGGTAAAAGTGAAAGCCTGAAGTTGGTGACAGGGTATTCTGTCACTCCGCACACACACACACACGCACACACAGGCTGGCAGCAACCCTGGCCTAAGGGCACAACATCAACCCCAATTTCCCCGCACCCCAATGTCAATGTTGCTGCTGTCTGCGGCGCGTTTGTCCACGCCCAACACTGAAATTGGGGGAGCGGGGGGAAGGGTTTCCAGAGCAACCTCTGCGCCACGGGCTTGTCATCCACTCGCCCCCACGTACAACCTTCGCCGCTTTGGTAGTCCCAGATTGGAGTAAACTTGAGCCAGAAGCAATTGTGAGAAGATACCAAACGTCGTAGCAGTCTCTGTGGCTCTGGGTCTGCTTCTGGCAGTGGAGGCGCTGCCAGCGACTTCTGAGTGTAGCACACTGCGAGCAAGTGCAGCGAGCGCTTTGTCTTTGGCAAGTTTGTAATGCGTTGGGAGAGAAGGGGGGCATGATCCAGGATGCGTGTGTGACACAAAATATCGCTGCTTAAACCAAATCTTAGTCACGTACGTTGGGTCAAACGATACTCTCGGAACACCCAAGTTGGCTAAACTTGAATCAGAATAGCAAACACCGTCAACGCTTTTTCCGACACATTGAAGGAGCTCGCGCAAACTGCAAATTACAAATTCCACGTTGCCACGCGCAACGTGGCTACTGCCGCCAGGAAAGAAACCAAGCCCGGCCGTGGCAGTTTGCGTGCAAAAACAAGAGCTTCAGACAGCAGCCTGCGCTGCCTTGAGCAGCCGCCGCTGCTCCAGAGGGCGCAAGGCCTTGAAACACGGCGCAGCACGCCAGTCCTCCGCAGTGAATTCGGACACACGCCTGGCTCCGAGAGCAAGGCAGTCCACTTCAAACGCGCCCAAGCGGTCACTGAGTTCTGCAATCTCAAGAAGATGGGCCAAGCCAATCACTGGCTGCTCGCTGGCCTCCTGTAAGGGTTCGCTAAGCAAATAAGAACTTTTAACCAGGCAACAAACTTTTCGACGGCGCGCGCTCAAGACGTTTCACTGAAATTCTCCGGCCTGATCTGCGACCAAGACCCTTGCTCTCAAGGCGCCCGCGTCCGCAGCTGCTGCGCCAGCCACAAGCCACGATGCGAAGCACAGAGCGCAGCTGTCCGTGCGACGCAAGTTGTTCAGGACAGCCGTGCAGCGGAACTGGTACAGTCGGTTCTGGACGTGGGCCACCTCTTCCGGGCCAATCGATCCATAGGGCACCCACAAGTTCTCATCCTTCGCCGTCATGCAGACCCCCTTCTGCCACCTGTAGTCAGCGTAGCCATTGCTGAAAGCTTGGGATTGTTTGATCTCAAACCAAGCGCCCTGGAACAGCGAAAGGAAGGTTGGCAGGTCAATCGTGCTCTGGCAGTACTCAATGGGCCGGTAGTCATCGAAGAAGATGAACCTCTTTCCCTTCATAAGGTTGACCAAGGGAAAGCCAGAGTTCAGCGGCGGCTTGTGGAACACCCTTGTACTTCCGAACAGGCTCTCAAGTGGCTGCACCAGAGTGGTCTTGCCACTGTTGCTCGGGCCGATCAGGAAAGGCACTCGGTGAACCTTGGACGGGCCCTCGACAATCACAGCCTGGCGGTTGCGTGAAGCGACAACAAGAAACGGCAGGGCGTCCACTAGAACTTCCCAACCTAAAATGTATACGCGTCCTGCAGTCAAAACACGCGGAGAGCTGCCGCCAACTCCTCCCGCCGCACAGTAGGGTTGGCGAGGAAGAACAACTCTGCCGCTGCACGATAAGAACAGTCGTCGCCTTTGGGGCATGTCTGACTGGCCGCCTGCAGCACCAAGCCCCACTCAGACTCAGCCTCCTCCGCAGCCGCCTTGGGTGCGCCATCCCACTCCCACGCATCCTCCACGTGCTCGCTGAGTCGCCGCTGGTTTGCGCAGACCCACTTCTGCATTTGCTCGGTGCCGCGCCTCTGGGCGTAGTCCATGACAGCGCTCTTGGTCTTCAGCTTCTGGGCGATGATCACAGCTGTCAGGTCCATCTTGCAGAACTTGGCGGGGCCCGGCTTTGCCTCCGTCAGCCGTTTCCGCTCAGCTGCCTCTGTCCGCTTTTGCCAACAGATAGCGTTGAATGGCCTCTGGGAGTCCTCCCACAAACTCCAACTTGCTCCATCAGCAGAATATGTGAAGGGGGCAGGGTCGATGTCCGGCTTCTTCAGCGACGCCACTGCTCCGTACCGCACAGCACTCCACCACTGTGTGTGTGATGAAGAGAAATGGGAAGGGAGCTTGTACCGCTCAAGAAGAGTCCTCTTCGCAGCTCTCCAGGCCCTCCGCAGATTCAACAAAATCGCGACATGGAAATGCGGCGTCTCGTCTTCGTGCGATTCTCGAAAAACAGCCAATTTGAGGACCTTGGTTTGCGCAGCGCTGGCGTTGCCTCCTTTGCCCACAGTAACCGCGTTCTCAAAGGCGTCCCGAACAAAGGTAGCAAGCTCGGAGCGCTGCAAAGTCCTGTCAAGGGGCATTGCTAACCGATTACAACTTTTTGGACCGCGCACACCCAAGCCGCGCCTGATGTCCCGCCAGTTCCCGGCGGCCTCAGTGTGTGGAAGTAGACGACTCACCGTGCACAAGTAAACGGACTGGACCTTCGCAGTTTCCTGGCCAATCTCTTCCAGCAAGCCACGGCGCTCGCCCATGAGTTGCCGCACCAGGGCGCGGAATGCCTCGGCGTGCGTCTGCAGCGTAGGCACATCCACACCGAGGGCCGTGGCCACCTGGTCGCGCAGCTGGTTCACGGTCACTTGGTCGGTGTCAACATCTTGCAACAAGTTTGGCAAAATCGCCGAAATCTTCACCGAGAGCACCTCCCAGCTTGTGTTTTCAGACATGGCGCCCCTGGAGCTAGAAGATTGAAGCCAAAACTTTCGGACCAAGCTTGAATGACAATGTACGGAGCAGGGAGAGGCCAGGACATATCCTCAAACAGCAGAGTTGCAGTCAGGGCAGCCTCAGCACTGTTGGAAGCACTTCCCAGTGCTTCCCAGTGCTGTTGCCAGTGCTGTTGCCAGTGCTGTTGCCAGTGCTGTTGCCAGTGCTGTTGCTCAGGTTCCCCACGCCAGCCACAAAAAAAGGCCGGATCAGTTGAAAACAGACAAAAAAAGAACAAATTCTTCATTTTTTGAGCAACGACAAGGAAACTTGACTTTGCGTGGCAGGCGTGGGACAAGTGAGCAACAGCACTGGCAACAGCACTGGCAACAGCACTGACAACAGCACTGGGAAGCACTGGGAAAACACTGGGACAGCTTAACTGTCTCCCTGGCCTGGCGAAGGTTGAAACGTCCTTGCCTCAGCGGTTCCCAAACGCCTTGCAAAGCAATCTGCGGGACTGCTGGCCGTGGACCTTTCGAAGCAAAGATCTGGAAGCTGGCGGAGGACAGTCGAATGATTGAAATGTCACCCTGGCCCCGCGCAACGGCTGCCAAAGGCCTTTCGAGGTGTCACTGTGGGACTGCTGGCGATTGAAATGTCACCCTGGCCCCGCGCAACGGCTGCCAAAGGCCTTTCGAAGCAAAGATCTGGAGGTGTCACTGTGGGACTGCTGGCGACGGACAGTCGGATGACTGAAACGTCACCTGGCCCCGCGCAGCGGCTGCCAAAGGCCTTTCGAAGCAAAGATCTGGAGGTGTCACTGTGGGACTGCTGGCGGTGGACAGTCGAATGATTGAAACGTCACCCTGGCCCCGCGCAGCGGCTGCCAAAGGCCTTTCGAAGCAAAGATCTGGAGGTGTCACTGCGGGACTGCTGGCGGCGGACAGTCGGATGGTTGAAATTTCACCTTGGTCACAGGCCCTTCGAAGCACAGATCTGGAAGTGTCACTGTGGGACTGCTGGCGGCGGCCAGTCGGATGATTGAAACGTCACCCTGGCCCCGCGCAGCGGCTGCCAAAGGCCTTTCGAAGCAAAGATCTGAGGTGTCACTGCGGGACTTGTGGGACTGCTGGCGGCGGACAGTCGGATGATTGAAACCACCCTGGCCCCGCGCAACGGCTGCCAAAGGCCTTTCGAAGCAAAGATCTGGAGGTGTCACTGCGGGACTGCTGGCGGCGGACAGTCAGATGGTTGAAATTTCACCTTGGTTACAAAGACCCTGCGAAGCAAAGATCTGGAGGTGCACTGCGGGACTGCTGGTGGCGGACAGTCAGATGGTTGAAATTCCACCTTGGTTGCAAAGGCCCTTCGAAGCACAGATCTGGAGGTGTCACTGCGGGACTGCTGGCGGCGGACAGTCGGATGGTTGAAATTCCACCTTGGTTACAGAGGCCCTTCGAAGCACAGATCTGGAAGTGTCACTGTGGGACTGCTGGCGGCGGACAGTCGGATGATTGAAACGTCACCCCGGCCCCGCGCAGCGGCTGCCAAAGGCCTTTCGAAGCAAAGATCTGGAGGTGTCACTGCGGGACTTGTGGGACTGCTGGCGGCGGACAGTCGGATGATTGAAACGTCACCCTGGCCCCGCGCAACGGCTGCCAAAGGCCTTTCGAAGCAAAGATCTGGAGGTGTCACTGCGGGACTGCGGCGGCGGACAGTCAGATGGTTGAAATTTCACCTTGGTCACAAAGACCCTGCGAAGCAAAGATCTGGAGGTGCACTGCGGGACTGCTGGTGGCGGACAGTCAGATGGTTGAAATTCCACCTTGGTTGCAAGGCCCTTCGAAGCACAGATCTGGAAGTGTCACTGTGGGACTGCTGGCGGCGGACAGTCGGATGGTTGAAATTCCACCTTGGTTACAAGGGCCCTTCGAAGCACAGATCTGGAAGTATCACTGTGGAACTGCTGGCGGCAGAAAGTCGGATGATTGAAACGTCACCCTGCGGCCGCCAAAGACCCTCGAGGCACAGATCTTAAGGGGCACTCCGGGACTGCTGGCGGCAAACAATGGGATGGATGAAATTTCACTGTTGCCGCCAAAAGCCTTTCGAAGCAAAGTCTGATGGTTAAAATGTCACCTTGGCCCCGCGCAAAAATTGCTGAAGGCTGTCCGGCACCACTGCGCGATTACTGGCGGCGGATGGTCGGATCGCTGCTGAAGGACCTCCCAAACAAAGATCTGGCCTGAGGTTTTACAGCGGGAGCCCTGAACTGGGCCCAACGCGCGGGTGAACTTTGCAATACGGCGCGACAGGTGCGCACGACGGAGAGCGCCTTTTTCCTTGAGCCAAAACAACAACCAGCGTGTTGCGCGCACCAGGTGCACTGCGGAGAGCACCTTTTTCTTGAACCATTTTTCTACTTGAGCCACGCCGCAAAACTCATGAAATCACTTTAGCCGGAAGCTGACTGGAACATTCCATTCAGACCAAACAACAGACCCTCTCGGAAGTTGCAAAAAACAAAAACAATGCGGAGACCCTTCAGGGCCATTTGGATTTGCAAATGCTTGGAGTCAGGCATGGCGCCCGTGCATGAATGAAAACGCACAGCGCTGCAAAGAACACCAGCCACATTTGCTCACAGGCGTCAATGGATAAGAATACATTCCCAATAAGCGTTGGCAGCACTTTGAGGCCCTGCTGGCGCCATGCGTGAACCCAGCCACACAGTGCAACAAACGGCCTGGCCACATTTGCTCACGGGGCGTGAGTGCATATTCAAAGCGCAAGGCATCAGAATGGATCGGCTTCCTAGGAAGCACTGGCGGCACTCCATCCTTGAAAAGGCATAAATCGGTGCCACCTGGCCAAAGCTGCCCATCCGTGCAGCGCAACGTGCTTTGCTTCTCGCCCTACAATGCTGGCCCCAAAAAAAGGACTGTTTGGATTCACGGGCTTTTGTTTGGGGAGGACACCAAAAAGGAAACATGGATATGCAAATCCCAATAAGCCTGCTGGCGCCATGCGTGCAACAAACAGCCACATTTGCCCACGGGGCGTGAGTGGATATGCAAAGCACAAGGCATCAGAATGGATCGGCTTCCCAGGAAGCACTGACAGCACTCCATCCTTGAAAAGGGATAGATCGGTGCCACCCGGCCAAAAACTGCCCCCCAGAAAAGGACTGTTTGGATTCATGGGCTTGTGTTCGGGGAGGAAACCAACAGGGAAACAATTTTCAGGGACACACGCACACACCTTCACGCAACACACCCGTAACAATCACGAGCATTGCCTGTCGCAGCAACTCGTGCGCGCAAACTCCGAGACTAGCGAACAAACAACAATACAGCAGCATAGATCCCAAATAGCGAGAAAAAACCAAGCGGACGATTGCACACCAGCGCGCCAACAGCACCCCCCGAAGAGCGCAACAAACAGCACCCCGCAAAACACACGGCCGTCAACCTCACCAATACCAACAGCACGCCCCAACGCAGCATCTGCCTGCACAGCGCCTTAAATTGTGTGCCCCCTAGCACTGTCTCACAAAAATACGCCCACACCGTCCTTCCGATGTCAATCTCGTAACAAAGCGCTGCAAAACATTGAAGTGTGCTTGTGAGCCTCTGAACCTAGCAACAACGCAAAGCTTATATTTCGCGCAAACCAGCACGTCAAGTCGCCAGCCTTTGGCTGGGCTAGGGCGACCCAGCACCCGACCCCGCTTTGCTTGTGAAGTAGAACCGAAAGTTGGGGAAAAACTCAAACTTGCTGCTCCAAGGAGACTTAAGCTCACGTCTCAGGGTTTTCAACTTGGCGCAGAAGCAGCTCCAAGTCTTCCCGGCTTAACCCTCGGGCAGCCTGCAGCGGTTAAGCCAGAAAACCTCGTTTCTGGCAATTGAAAACGTACAGGTCAAGCACAAAACATTCCAAAGCATAGCCGCGTTGCGCGCATGAGGCGCTCCTTGCGCTTAAGAAGAACACGTCGGTCCCGAGCTGCTTGCCGCGCGGCCGCCTTGATCTCATCTCTACGTCGCTTGACAGCTGCAAGCTCTTGGTGAAGGAACGCCTGCCAAGGCAAGGGGCCAATTTCACGCCCCTTTTCGAACCCTCAAAGCGGCGCCAGCTGGACGTAGCTGGACAGTTTTTCTTAGCCCTGCAAAGGTTGGCTCGCTTGAAATGCAACCTGGAGCCAAATTGCAACCATATCTAGGGGGGACTATTTTGCAGCCATACGCCTGCACGCAGCGTTTTAGACTCGAATCCTTCGCAGGTCAAATGCTGGACGGACGAGTGCTGGGAGCCTCTCAGGTAGAATAAAGTGTTACAAGCTCTCTCAGTGTTACGCCCCGATTCCAGGCAGGCCCCGATTCCACAACCTGGCCCAGGGCGGAAACCCGAACTTGGACAAGAACTTGGACAAGAAACCCTGGGCGTCTGCTTCGCGGCAGCGCCGCAACTAGGATTCTGACCCCTCAAATCCGGCCTCGGGAGCCTTCGCTTTTGGTGGCATGTCACAGCACGTGGTTTGCGACAGGGCTTGGCGAGCTGGAGCTGACCGAAAAAGAGGCTGCAAGCAAGCGACACCATCATACACTTGCAACTGTCCCGAACGGCCCAACCCCAAAACACGAAGGGGGGCAAACCAACCCAAAAAACAAAACAAGGCCAAAACAACCCTAAAAACCGAAGGGGGCCAAGCCAACCCCAAAAACTGAAAGGGGGGCAACCCAACCCCAAAAAAACGAAGGGGGCCAAACCAACCCCAAAACACGAAGGGGGGCAAACCAACCCCAAAAAAATGAAGGAGGCCCCACAAACCAAAGAGGGGCAACCCCAAAAAATGAAGGGGGGCCAAGCCAACCCCAAAAACCGCATGGCCAACGCAACCCCAAAAAAATGAAGGGGGCCAAGCCAACCCCAAAAACCAAAGAGGGGTCAACGCATGTTCTGCGCAGGACACCTGATGTTGCCTCGGGAAGGGCTATTAGCCGCTGGAGGAAGCTGACTC